GACCTGTGTGTGTGTGTGAGTGTGTGTGTGACCTGAGTGTGTGTGTGTTGTGTGTGTGACCTGAGTGTGTGTTGTGTGACCTGAGTGTGTGTGTGTGTGTGTGTGTGTGTACCTGAGTGTGTGTTGTGTGACCTGAGTGTGTGTTGTGTGACCTGAGTGTGTGTTGTGTGACCTGAGTGTGTGTGTGTGACCTGAGTGTGTGTGTGTGACCTGAGTGTGTGTTGTGTGACCTGAGTGTGTGTGTGTGTGACCTGAGTGTGTGTTACCTGAGTGTGTGTGTGTGACCTGAGTGTGTGTTGTGTGACCTGTGTGACCTGAGTGTGTGTGTGTGTGTGACCTGAGTGTGTGTTGTTGTGTGACCTGAGTGTGTGTGTGTGTGTGACCTGAGTGTGTGTTGTGTGACCTGAGTGTGTGTCGTGTGACCTGAGTGTGTGTGTGTGTGACCTGAGTGTGTGTTGTGTGACCTGAGTGTGTGTTGTGTGACCTGAGTGTGTGTTGTATGACCTGAGTGTGTGTGTGACCTGAGTGTGTGTGTTGTGTGACCTGAGTGTGTGTTGTGTGACCTGAGTGTGTGTTGTGTGACCTGAGTGTGTGTTGTATGACCTGAGTGTGTGACCTGAGTGTGTGTTGTGTGACCTGAGTGTGTGTGTTGTGTGACCTGAGTGTGTGTTGTATGACCTGAGTGTGTGTCGTGTGACCTGAGTGTGTGTGTTGTGTGACCTGAGTGTGTGTTGTGTGACCTGAGTGTGTGTTGTATGACCTGAGTGTGTGTTGTATGACCTGAGTGTGTGACCTGAGTGTGTGTCGTGTGACCTGAGTGTGTGTGTTGTGTGACCTGAGTGTGTGTTGTATGACCTGAGTGTGTCTGTTGTATGACCCGAGTGTGTGACCTGAGTGTGTGTTGTGTGACCTGAGTGTGTGTGTTGTGTGACCTGAGTGTGTGTGTTGTGTGACCTGAGTGTGTGTTGTGTGACCTGAGTGTGTGTCGTGTGACCTGAGTGTGTGTTGTATGACCTGAGTGTGTGTTGTGTGACCTGAGTGTGTGTTGTGTGACCTGAGTGTGTGTTGTGTGACCTGAATGTGTGTTGTGTGACGTGAGTGTGTGTGTCGTGTGACCTGAGTGTGTGTGTTGTGTGACCTGAGTGTGTGTTGTATGACCTGAGTGTGTGACCTGAGTGTGTGTCGTGTGACCTGAGTGTGTGTTGTGTGACCTGTACCTTGACCTCCAGGACCACAGGATTCTCATTTGGCTTCAGAGACGACACGTCCAGTCTCCTCTGGTACTCGCACAACCTCTGAAACAAACACACAACACAACACACAACAGTCACACAACCTCTGAAACAAACACACAACACAACACACAACAGTCACACAACAACACAACCTCTGAAACAAACACACAAAACAACACACAACAGTCACACAACCTCTGAAACAAACACACAACACAACACACAACAGTCACACAACCTCTGAAACAAACACACAACACAACACACAACAGTCACACAACAACAACACTCTGAAACAAACACACACACAACACAACACAAACAGTCACACAACAACCTCTGAAACAAACACACAACACACACACACACAACAACTCTGAAACAAACACACAACACAACACACAACCTCTGAAACAAACACACACACACACAACAACAGTCACACAACCTCTGAAACAAACACACAACACAACACACAACAGTCACACAACACAACAACACAACACAACAGTCACACAACCTCTGAAACAAACACACAACACAACACACAACAGTCACACAACACAACCTCTGAAACAAACACACAACACAACACACAACAGTCACACAACCTCTGAAACAAACACACAACACAACACACAACAGTCACACAACCTCTGAAACAAACACACAACACAACACACAACAGTCACACAACACAACCTCTGAAACAAACACACAACACAACACACAACAGTCACACAACACAACCTCTGAAACAACAACACACACACACAACACACAACCTCTGAAACAAACACACAACACAACACACAACAGTCACACAACCTCTGAAACAAACACACAACACAACACTCAACAGTCACACAACACAACAACACAACCTCTGAAACAAACACACAAAACAACACACAACAGTCACACAACCTCTGAAACAAACACACAACACAACACACAACAGTCACACAACACAACAACACAACACACAACAGTCACACAACACAACACAACCTCTGAAACAAACGCACAACACAACACACAACAGTCACACAGTGGTAGGTGTCGGTGGCAGGGCTGCACCTGTCTGTTCTCGGCCTCTTTCACTGACTGGTTGATGTGGTTGAGGATTTTCTTGCAGGAATCTGCAGCTCGCTTCACTCTGCGACGCTCCTCCGCCTCATCTGCACAGACACACACCTGTTACACCTGTCACTCACCTGTCACTCACCTGTCACCTGTCTGTCACCTGTCTGTCACTGTCACTCACCTGTCACCTGTCTGTCACCTGTCTGTCACCTGTCACTCACCTGTCACTCACCTGTCACTCACCTGTCACTCACCTGTCACCTGTCTGTCACCTGTCACTCACCTGTCACTCACCTGTCACCTGTCTGTCACCTGTCACTCACCTGTCACCTGTCACTCACCTGTCTGTCACCTGTCACCTGTCTGTCACCTGTCTGTCACTGTCACCACCTGTCACCTGTCACTCACCTGTCACTCACCTGTCACCTGTCTGTCACCTGTCACTCACCTGTCACCTGTCTGTCACCTGTCACTCACCTGTCACCTGTCTGTCACCTGTCACTCACCTGTCACTCACCTGTCACTCACCTGTCACTCACCTGTCTGTCACCTGTCACCTGTCACTCACCTGTCTGTCACCTGTCACTCACCTGTCTGTCACCTGTCTGTCACCTGTCTGTCACCTTGTCACTCACCTGTCACTCACCTGTCACCTGCCTGTCACCTGTCTGTCACCTGTCACCAGTCACTCACCTGTCTTTCACCTGCCTGTCACCTGTCTGTCACCTGTCTGTCACCTGTCTGTCACCTGTCACTCACCTGTCTGTCACCTGCCTGTCACCTGCATGTCACCTGTCTGTCACCTGTCTGTCACCTGTCGGTCACCTGTCTGTCACCTGTCTGTCACCTGCCGGTCACCTGTCGGTCACCTGTCTGTCACCTGCCTGTCACCTGTCTGTCACCTGTCACTCACCTGTCACTCACCTGTCACTCACCTGTCACTCACCTGTCTGTCACCTGTCACCTGTCTGTCACCTGTCTGTCACCTGTCACTCACCTGTCACCTGTCTGTCACCTGTCACTCACCTGTCTGTCACCTGTCACTCACCTGTCACCTGCCTGTCACCTGTCTGTCACCTGTCACCAGTCACTCACCTGTCTTTCACCTGCCTGTCACCTGTCTGTCACCTGCCTGTCACCTGTCTGTCACCTGTCACTCACCTGTCTGTCACCTGCCTGTCACCTGCATGTCACCTGTCTGTCACCTGTCTGTCACCTGTGTCACCTGTCACTCACCTGTCACCTGCCTGTCACCTGTCTGTCACCTGTCACCAGTCACTCACCTGTCTTTCACCTGCCTGTCACCTGTCTGTCACCTGCCTGTCACCTGTCTGTCACCTGTCACTCACCTGTCTGTCACCTGCCTGTCACCTGCATGTCACCTGTCTGTCACTGTCTGTCACCTGCCTGTCACCTGCCTGTCACCTGCCTGTCACTGCGGTCACCTGTCGGTCACCTGTCTGTCACCTGCCTGTCACCTGTCTGTCACCTGTCACTCACCTGTCACTCACCTGTCTGTCACCTGTCGGTCACCTGCTGTCACCTGCCTGTCACCTGCCTGTCACCTGCCTGTCACCTGTCGGTCACCTGTCGGTCACCTGCCTGTCACCTGTCTGTCACCTGTCCTGTCACTGCCTGTCACCTGCCTGTCACCTCACCTGCGGTCACCTGTCACCTGTCTGTCACCTGCCTGTCACCTGTCTGTCACCTGTCACCACCTGTCACTCACCTGTCTGTCACCTGCCTGTCACCTGTCGGTCACCTGCCTGTCACCTGCCTGTCACCTGCCTGTCACCTGCCTGTCACCTGTCGGTCACCTGTCGGTCACCTGCCTGTCACCTGTCTGTCACCTGTCTGTCACCTGCCTGTCACCTGCCTGTCACCTGCCTGTCACCTGCCTGTCACCTGTCTGTCACCTGCCTGTCACCTGTCACTCACCTGTCACTCACCTGTCACTCACCTGTCTGTCACCTGCATGTCACCTGCATGTCACCTGTCTGTCACCTGTCTGTCACCTGCCTGTCACCTGTCTGTCACCTGTCTGTCACCTGCCTGTCACCTGCCTGTCACCTGCCTGTCACCTGCCGGTCACCTGTCGGTCACCTGTCTGTCACCTGCCTGTCACCTGTCTGTCACCTGTCACTCACCTGTCACTCACCTGTCTGTCACCTGCCTGTCACCTGTCGGTCACCTGCCTGTCACCTGCCTGTCACCTGCCTGTCACCTGCCTGTCACCTGTCGGTCACCTGTCTGTCACCTGCCTGTCACCTGCCTGTCACCTGTCTGTCACCTGCCTGTCACCTGTCGGTCACCTGTCGGTCACAGTGTTTTCAGTTCCTCCAGTTGAACCAGTCCAGTTTAAACTCTGTCTCTGTGTCTGTGTCTTTACGATCACTGTTCATGACCTGATATTAGGAGTGTAACAACACTGGAGATATCACCATAATATCACCATAATATCACGATATTATCACCATAATATCACCATAATATCACCATAATATCACGATATTATCACCATAATATCACCATAATTATCACCATAATATCACCATAATATCACCATAATATCACGATATTATCACCATAATATCACCATAATATCACGATATTATCACCATAATATCACCATAATATCACGATAATATCACCATAATATCACGATAATATCACCATAATATCACCATAATATCACCATAATATCACGATATTATCACCATAATATCACGATATTATCACCATAATATCACGATATTATCACCATAATATCACGATATTATCACCATAATATCACCATAATATCACGATATTATCACCATAATATCACCATAATATCACCATAATATCACCATAATATCACGATATTATCACCATATTATCACCATATTATCACCATATTATGATATTATGTCCCGATATCGTCGTGATGTCGTCTCATAGTTTCTTAGTCTACGTTCAGTCTGCAGGTTTAACGCTCAATTCCGATTTTTTTGTGAAATCCGATGTTTTTTCGAGGTCGTTCACATTTTCCAGTTAAATGTGACTTGTATGAATTCTCCTGTGTCTTTATCGCGGTTACCTGAACTCCAGAGGCTTAAGCCGTCACCACAGATGTGTGGACTTCAAGAGCGACGCACTTTTATTACAATTGTTTATTTGTTTCTTGAATTTTGCTCTTCAACTTCAAAGTCTTTTCAAACTATTCAAAAAGTCACTGATATGAAAATAACGATAAATCAATACTGAACCAAAGCATTTTATAACGTCACTCTTGTTATTGTGGAGAATATCGTAATATCGTGAGCTTTCCCACGATGTCACAATAAATATCGTACAGTGAGGTTCATACCGCGACGATATCGTATGATGAGATGTGGATATCGTTACACCCCTACCTGAAACTAGTAGTTATGTTACTTCTGAAAGTAGTTTGTCCGTTCATACTCCTCATAAACTGGTTTTAAGTTTGTTTATTTCAAACTGAGCTTCCATAAACTTGTTTCCAGCCCTTGAACACTGATCACAGACGCTTCATTTTCATCTCGAGGTGGTTTATTTGAAGATAAGGTGTCTGTTTCTCACCCGTGTACTTGGCGATGTTGTCCAGCAGGAGCGGGTACTTGGTGAGCCTCTGAACCTCCACGGGGATCAGGTCTTTGAGCTGCAGCCGCCGGCACAGACGGTTACTCTCCGCCTCCTGGTCGCCCGCGGCAACAAGACAAAACATGACATGGGTTCAAACGGTTACGCACCAGATCTACGAACCGGAGAGAAGACGACAGAGCGACGGAGACATTTCTGATACCAACGGTTTACGATCGAGAAGAAATCGATGGCTGAAGCTTTGCTGATATCGTCAAGTGGTGGAACATAGTTAAGTAAAAGTAGTAAAGTACTGTTCTTTAACATTTTAGGGGTTAGTACTTTACTTAAGTACATTTGAAAGTGTACTTTTTACTTTTACTTCAGTACGTTTGAGCGCAGGTATCTGTACTTTCTACTGCACTACATTTTTAACTAAGAGTTACTGAGCCACTAAACACCAACAGCACTTTTTTCCTTCTGATTCTCTGTAAATGTGTTTAAAACAGAAGTGTGTCTCTGTCTCTGGACTTATTTTGTCATTTTCGTGCAGATTTGTTAAAAATGTGACTTTTGGGTCAAAGTTGTGTCTGTACAAACTCTTTAGGATCAACTACGCCCACGACATTTGAGTTTTCAGGTTTAAACGGCGAGATCCAAGTGCAAATATCTGCTCTGTTTCAAAGTTCAGACTGGTCCAAACCGTGTTGGATTGTTGTTGTGGCTGTTGGTCGGCTGTCAATCATCACTCCAGAGCCCGCCCCCCACCCTCAGGCCCCGCCCCACCCTCAGGCCCCGCCCCCCACAGGCCCCGCCCACTCTGGAGAATTTTAATGATTTTGTTTAGAGGTCGAGTAAAACTTTAAACTTTAATGGATTTTTAAGACGTGAAATTCAAATGTACAAAATACAGTGGGCAGAGGGCGACTGTGGGTGACTGTGGTTGACTGTGGGCGACTGTGGGCGACTGTGGGCGACTGTGGGCGACTGTGGATGACTGTGGGCGACTGTGGGTGACTGTGGGCGACTGTGGATGACTGAGGGCGACTGTCGGTGACTGCAGGTGACTGTGGGCGACTGGATGACTGTGGGCGACTGTGGGTGACTGTGGATGACTGTGGATGACTGTGGGCGACTGTCGGTGACTGCAGGTGACTGTGGGCGACTGGGCGACTGTGGGCGACTGTGGGCGACTGTGGATGACTGTGGGCGACTGTGGGCGACTGTGGGCGACTGTGGGCGACTGTGGATGACTGTGGATGACTGTGGGCGACTGTGGGCGACTGTGGGCGACTGTGGGTGTCAGTGGGTGGAACTGGGTGACTGTGGGTGACTGTGGGGGACTGTGGATGACTGTGGATGACTGTGGGCGACTGTCGGTGACTGCAGGTGACTGTGGGCGACTGTGGGCAACTGTGGGTGACTGCGGGTGACTGTCAGTGGCTGTGGATGACTGTGGCGACTGTGGGGCGACTGTGGGCGGCGTGTGGGTGGCTGTGGACGACTGTGGCGACTGTGGGGCGACTGTGGGCGGCGTGTGGGTGGCTGTGGGCGGCGTGTGGGTGACTGTGGGCGGCGTGTGGGTGACTATGGGCGG